TATAATCTTTTTTTTTTTTTTTTTTTAAATATATCTTTATTGATTTCAGAGAGAGGAAAGGATAGGAAGAGAGAGAGATAGAAACATCAATGATGAGAGAGTCATTGATCGAGCCCGCAACCTGGGCATGTGCCCTGATCGGGAATCGAACCCTGATCGCCTGGATCCCAGGTCGACGCTCAACCACTGAGCCACGCCGAGCCAGGCGAGGCCAGTATAATCTTGACACCAAAGCCTGGCATGGACATTATCAGAGAAGGAACACTAAGCCAATCTCACTCATGAAAGTAGATAAAAAAATTATAAACAAAATATTAATAAACTATGCAACAATATGTAAGAATGAAAATACATCACAACCAAGTTGTATTTATTCTAGGAATATGAGGTTGGGTTAACATTAAAAAAAAATAAATGTAGGAACTAATGCTTCCAGTCAAGATGGAGCAGAGGGACTGGATTTACTCTCACCCATGGAACAACCACAAATTTAAAAAAAGATCATTTAATAGAAAATGAACAAAGGAACTCACAGGGACTTCACAAAAGACGCTATCCAAGTTACCTATATATATGTATATATGTGTGCATACATATACACACACACATGAAAAGGTACTCAACCTTAGTCACTAGGGAACTGCAAGTCCAAACCAGAATAAGATATCTCTACATTCCTACCAGAATGACTAAAATAAAGGAAAGGGACTAGAGAAAGAAAAAATTATGTGAAAAAAAATTTTTTAAACATATCTTTATTGATTTCAGAGAGAGGAAAGGAGGGGGAGAGAGAGAGATAGAAACATCAATGATGAGAGAGTCATTGATCAGCTGCTTAGCCCACAACCTAGGCATGTGCCCTGACCAGGAATCGAACCCTGATCTCCTGGATTCTAGGTCGATGCTCAATCGCTGAGCCACGCCCAGCCACGCTGAAATTTTTATAATATGTAGAAAAAAATCTTTCAGGATTTCCATCAAGATAATTAACTATAATTCTTGATTTTTAGTGGAATTACCAGTGCTTATTTTCTTGTTTTGCTCATTGAAATTTTCTAATTTGTTTTTAAAAAAATACATATAGCTCCTATAATAAAAAAATTTTTTCACTTTTAAAAAGTGCAGAAAGAATTTTAAAAACTGCAAAAAGAAAAGCATAATGACACTCTTGGTGTGATATAACTTATTTTGAGTATAATTTTAATTTTAAGAAGCTTAAAATATGAATTACTGATTAACTTACAATTTTACGTGAAATATATCTTGCAAAACATTTTATGACAATGATTTTCTATTATGATATGGTTTGAAATGTTTAAAAAACTATATGAGCACATGCAAACATAAATTTAATCTGTTAGGCACATACAGAACTGAAATATCAAATCATTCAACACTGAGCCATTAGTATATAAGTACTTAAAACCAAAATATCTGCCACTATGGTCTGGTGATAAAATACACAAATAAGTCTGTTAGACAAAAACAGCTAAATGAACTTTAAAAAGTATGAAGATTATGAGTTTAAAGCACTAGCTGCAAGAACATTTGTCAAACTCCAAATGTTAGGTGACAGTTCAGCAATCCAGTGGCACTTATGTAAGCAAGCAGCTTGAACGAACAGATACTTTAAAGGTTTTAGATGAAATTCAGCTTTTACAACAAAAGGGAAGGATTCCCTTACAGAGGCAGATACACTGGTTGCCCTCTGTACCTGGCACATCTGGGGGAGCTCAGATGCCACCTTCTCTACCGTGTTGCTGCTGTCATGGGTTTCTGAGAGACACCCCATGGGACTCCCCCCTTTAGAGGTACTAGTTTCTTTTGAAGAAGCATTTGTGTTGTCACCAAGATTTGCTAACAGAGTTAATTTTATCCCCAACTTCTATTGGCTCTACAGTAAAATGCACAATAAAATCCTTCTCCTCCCCACCTTCCCTTCACTCCCCCCACCTCCCCTCTACCTTCTTGTGCTGGGGGCAGGGCAGGGCAGCGGCAGCAGCTTCCTCCAGCTACTGCTTACAGCAAGTTCAACTTTATCTTGGGTGTCACCTGAGCCTGTGATGCCAGGGAATCCTCTCCAGCATGTCCTGTCCTAGTATGTTCCTTAGTATTATGCTGGTTCTCAGATTACCAGGCAGACAGTCCCAATTTAGTTCACCTAAACTGAGAGGTGGGGCAGCAGCTCCCTTTCTGCACAAGTAGGTATATTCTGACTCCTTGGCTGCCATGATCCTGTTATATTGTTCTTCCCTAATTTCCTGTTTTCTTGTCCCTAGCGGCAGATCAATCATCCTTTTGTACATGGTTTGGGAGACAGCTGGCAGGGAAAACGGCATCTCTTCATTAGTGAGTGACTGGTCCCCTCATTCCCAAGGTCCTTCTACCGTACTCCCCATCCCTGAGAGTACCCATCCCTTTGGCTTGTTCTGCCTTTGCTCTGTTCCCTTTCTCACAGCACTTCTCTCTCCCAAAGGGAGAGGGAACAAACAGCATGTGGCATCAGTTTGGGCAGAAGGCCTTTAATGCCTTGAGCCCAGGCACAGTAGCCCCCAAATATTGCCTAGACTTCTGGTGCTTTGCAGTGTGCAGCTACTGTAGCACAGATCTCTACTCCCTGTGGTCCGCTGTTGGCTGCTTTGCTGAGGCTCCCATCCGCCTCTTTGCTGCTGAGCTGGTCCTGGTGCTGTGTAAGTGAAACAGGAGTGGTAATGAAAATGAGGGAAGAATTAATGGAGTGGGGGCAAAAAGAATTAACTCTGGAGGTCAAAGAACCAGGAATAGGGATGGGGTGGGGCTACCAGGGAAATTGGAAAGGACAGGAGAGCTTCAGCACATCCCATGCTCGCTGTCATCCACAGGCTATCTCCATGACTTGGGCATCATCCATCGAGATGTGAAGGTAGAGTTAAGCACTTTTTTCTTTGTCTGAGGAGGGGGCTTAGTAAGAAGTTCCACAGGTCCAAGAAGGCATGGGGGAGCTGAGAACAGCTGACCTTAGGACTCTCATGGGTGCTAAGGATTTGGACAAGGACCCTGAATGTTGAGTAGGGCATCTTCAGCTGGGGGGTATACATGATGAAAGAGAGTTGAAAGGAAGAGGGTGAATAATAACTTCTCACCTGTGATTTTTCAGATGGAGAATATCCTTCTGGATAAACGAGGTAAATCCTTTTCCTAGCCCCAGAATGAGAGGTACTTCAGTTTGGGAATGAGCCATGGCTGATGAGGGATGGAACAGGGTGGTGCTGTTGCATTATCTTTTATAGGTCACCTGAAACTGACAGACTTTGGTCTGTCCCGCCACCTGTCCCAGGGAGCTCGAGCCTATACTATTTGTGGCACTCTTCAATACATGGGTAAGAAAAAGGCTAAAGCTGGTGGGTAAGCATTGGGCAGGAGGATAGCCAATAGATGTCAATGACAGTATCTTTCAAATCAAATCTGTAGCCCCAGAGGTCCTGAGTGGAGGGCCTTACAACCATGCTGCTGACTGGTGGTCCCTGGGTGTCTTACTTTTCTCTCTGGCAACTGGAAAGGTGAGAGAATGGTAGTGATGCTGGGCAGAAAAGAGTGTTTTGCCCTGTGGTGGGAAGAAGGAAGATCTTAGGAAACCTTGCCTTCTTCCTTCTAAGAAATGACACCCTCCCCCCCTCAACTCAGTTCCCAGTGGCTGCAGAGAGAGATCATGTGGCCATGTTGGCAAGTGTGACTCACTATGACTCTGAGATCCCAGCTTCTCTTAACCAGGGGCTCTCACTTCTGCTCCATGAGGTAAGGGTGAACACTACTTTCCTTTTTGACTACCAAACAAACCATTCACTCTCTCCTTTCCCTATCATTGAAGTGGTATTTCCCCATTCCTCTGATTAATTTGTTTTTTGGAGCTGGGAGTCTCCAACTTGATCAAGTACTATGTCACTACTTGCCCTCTAACCAGCATTTCAAATTTCATTCCTGACTTCCCAGTCCTCCAAATAGCCTCCCCATCCATGACAGACAGGTTATTTCTGAGAGAGTGGGCCAGTGCTGCTTTCTTACCAATATAGCTCCTTTATTCCTGCCTTTGCCCCCAAATTAGCTCATCTCCCTCTTTTACAAATCCTTTTCTCTTTAGGGTTCTTTTTTCTGCCCTCCACAGCTCCATGAACTTCTTTTTCCCTTTCCAGCTTCTCTGTTAACAGCCCTTTTCCTATCCCAGTGTCTATTCCTTGTTGCTATTTCCCTTCAGCTCTTATGCCAGAATCCCCTCCAGCGGCTACGTCATTTGCATCACTTCCAGGTCCACCCTTTCTTTCGGGGTGTGGCCTTTGACCCAGAGCTCCTACAGAAGCAACCAGTGAACTTTGTCTTGGAGACACAAGCTGGCCAGCGTAGTTCATCAGAGTCATTGCTGTTCAAGGATTTTGACTGTAACCTGGAGTCCTACCTGGTCTACCCCGGCCTTGCCTGAGCCCCTCTACTATAGATTCGGGCCCTCTGGGAACCTGAGGATCTCCTCCACTGCCAACTCAGTATGACCACCTTGATGATCTAGCTTGTTTTCAGTTTGTAGCCTCTTAAGATTCTGTTCTTCTACGCATTGTACCAGAGTTTAAATCTTGGGCATTCTGCTACTGGCAGCCACAATTGGCCTCAGCCCTTCCCCTATTATACAACCCATCTCTCAATTCAACATTTCAGATCAGAGTGTTGATCTTTTCCTCTGCTTCATTTCTCCAGTGCTCATACCCTAAAGCTTTTAGCCAGAGCTTATTTCACTTTTACCCCTCCTTGTTTCTGCAACATGTTTCCTTTTTTGAGCAATAACACTTCATGGATTCATAAGGTGCTATTTATGTGTTTAACAGGCTTGTCAGAAGCAGTATGGATATTTTTCAGAGGTCTCAAAAGCTGCCATTACAGTTCCTAGATAAGCACCTAAAGCATGATTCTAGGGGCTCAAAGCCAGTCTGTAATAAATTTAATTTTAAAAAATTTAAAAAGTGAATCATAATAGCCTAAAGTGAGGAAGAGAATAAATAGAAACTGAAACATGGGTGGGTTAAATGTCCTTAGGGTAACTGAAATAGCTATCCAAATTTTTTCCAAAACAAAGCCCCTTTGAAAGACATAGGATTCTTAAACTGATTACTGCCTTACACATCCCAGGATTCAGTTTCTGATGGGCAAACCAAGGGATTAAGAGGCATGACATCAACCTTAAAATTTAAGAACCTTTTCCCTTAGTAAGGAAAATCATCTGGACCTTAAATTTGTATACATTTCTGGCCTTTATGACTTCATTTTTCTTTAACTTCTCAAAAGCTTCATTTTTATTATTCTTCAGTTATATCTGATCTCTTTTTCCAGATCAAAGAGTCTGGAAAGTATTCTGTGTATTTTAATTCTATCCCTGGATTAAGCCAGATTTTCCCTGTACATAGCTAGCATTTTATTGGGCTCTTTAGAATTGCTTTTTCTGGATTGCACTTTGGCAATCTGTATCAAATCCCTATGAAACTTAATTGCCGTAGGTACTGTAAAGGGTATTTATGATTACAATTCATAATGTTCTTTTTAAAGATGCATAGGAGAAAAGTTTCTCTGAACCCAGTTGTGCTTTTCCTGAGTTGCTGTTTGGTTTTACATTAAAGACACTAAATATTCAACTGACTGTATTTTTCCCTTCATATTGATGCTAGACTACTTAGAGCCAATTTTTGGCCCACCTCCATCCAGCAAGTGTTTAGGACCTCGTGTTATGTATTTTGTATGCTAGACACGTTCTTGGTTTCCTGTATTTTCTACCTTTATTTTCCTATGTTTTATTTTTATCTTACTATATTATCTGCATCTTTGTAAGCCTTTTGGGAATGAGGTTGGGATGTAAATAAATAAAAGAATGTATCTTTAATCTTTTTTATCTCATTTGTTTCTCTTTAGACACTTTTTCAAAGATTTTTTCACATTCAAGTTGTAGTGACCATTGGATAAAAACCCTGAATACTAGAAATGGGAATGATTTCTAAACTAGTAGTTAAGAGTATTGGAATTTAGGCCTGGTGCCTGGATCCACCAATAACTGTTTCAGTGTCTTTACACAGTCATTTTAATCTCTCTGGATTTTAGTTTCCTATGTATAAAATGAATGGGTTATAGTCACTGGCTCTTCTTTTTTTTTAATCCTCACTTGAGGACATGCTTAGAGAGAGGAAGGATGGGGGGGAGAGAAACATCGATGTGACAAACATTGACTGAACTGGCAATCTTTCAGTGCACAGGACAGTGCTCAACCAACCAACTGAGCTACTCTGGCCAGGCTAGCCACTGGTTCTTAATTGTGTGGGAGGGGTTTCAGATTTCTGTGATGCTTTTTCAAAGGGCAGATGCAGATGATTTTATGATACTATGTGTCCGGCCCACTGTTAATTAATGTTCAGGTCACCCAACATTATATATCTTCTCTGGTCACAGCAGCATACTGGGTTAAGGTCTTTAGGACATGGTTAATATGATATCACTAGGGTCCCTTTCCTAGGTCATATTAGATTGCTTAGAGACCATGATCATATAAGTGTAGTTTGAATAATTTTTTACCAAATGAGGATATTAACATACTCTTCAATCAGTGGTACACTACAACAGTGATTTTCAGGGTACAGTGGAGGGGGTGACAGAAAATCATAGTTTCAGACACTAGAATTTGAAGAAAGCACTGCCCCCCACACCCTAGTTCTGATATGTTCACTCCTGGAAGGCATTCTTTTCCGTCACCCTCTACTACCATTCAGAATCACTGACCAATGTATATATCTTTTTAAAAGTTTATATTAAATTCATTTAAATTTTTTAAAATATACAACCTGAAATGATCTTTTAAATTTAACCTTATGCTTTGATTTTTTACTACCTAGAAGAAATCAGATACACCTATAAATACGGATATTTTACTCTGTACTCCCTTTTTCTTTTTTTAATTCTCACCTGAGGATATGTTTATTTTTTAGATTTTTAGAGAGAGGAAGGGAGAGAGAGAAACATCGATCGGTTGTCTACCTTACATGCCCCAACTGGGGATCAAGCCCAAAACTTAGGTATGTACTCTGACCAGATATCGAACCTGCAGCCTTTTTGGTGTGTGGGACAACACTCCAACCAATTGAGCCAGCCGGCCAGGGGTCCCTTCTGTGTTTTTTTAAGAATTTAAGATTAGTCTCAAAACCAACCCTTATATTCTTTTTCTAGGAGAGTATCTTTGTAGTTCCACTTACTGTTTCTCACCTCTAATCTAAGTTACTTTATTGTATATTGAATTGTTCATTTGTTTACTTGTTCATTGATTTAAAAAACTGGCAATTTCAATTCCTTGGTTACTTCTTTTTTTAATCCTCACCCGAAGATATGTTTTACTGACTTTAGAGAGAGAAGAAGGGAAAGAGAGAGAGAGAGATCAATCAGTTGCCTCCTATACACACCCCAACCAGGGATGGAACCCGCAACCTAGGTATGTGCCCTGACTAGGAATTGAACTCACAACCATTTTGGTGTACAGGACAATGCTCCAACCAACATCTTCCTGGCTTGGGCGTCTTGGTTACTTGTTACTTCTTTAAGTAGTCTTCAATGTAAAAATCTTTCAAAGCTTTTTAAAAAAAGATTGAAATAAAATTTAATGAAATAAAATCATGTTCATATAAAAAAATTTTTTTTTAATTCTCACCCAAGAATATTTTTCCCATTGCTTCCATTGCTTTTCAGAGAGAATGGGAGAGAGAAATATCAATGTGAGAGAGACACATGGGTTGGTTGCCTCCCACACCACCCTAACCAGCCCTGACCAGCACTAGGGATTGAACCTGCAACCGAGGTACGTGCCCTTGGCTGGAAGTGAACCTGGGACCCTTCAGTCCAAGGGCTGAGGCTCTAACCACTAAGCCAAACTGGCTAGGGCTTCATTAAGAATTTAAGATTAGTCTCAAAACCAACCCTTATATTCTTTTTCTAGGAGAGTATCTTTGTAGTTCCACTTACTGTTTCTCACCTCTAATCTAAGTTACTTTATCGTATATTGAATTGTTCATTTGTTTACTTGTTCATTGATTTAAAAACTGGCAATTTCAATTCCTTGGTTACTTAGGTTTATTAACCTCTGTAATGTGCTGTAATTTTTAAAATCCTTTCCTGAGGATATTTTTTCCATTGCTTTTTTGAGAGAGTGGAAGGGAAAGAAGAAGGGGTGGGGGAGAGAGAAACATTGATATGAGAGAGACATCGATTGATTGCTGGGGATTGAACCTGCAACCTAGGTAGTGTGCCTTTGACCAGGAATGGAACCTGCAACCCTTTGGTGCATGGGCCGACGCCTTAACCACTGAGTGACACCTGCCAGGGATGTAATGTGCTGTATTATGTCTCCCCTCAACCCACATATTGAAGTCCTAATCCCCAGTACTTCAGAATATGACTATTTGGAGATAAGGTCTTTAAAGATGTAATTAAGTTAAAATGAGGCCATATGGTGGACCCTAATCCAATATGATTGGTGTCCTTATAAAGAACAGGAAATTAGGACACAGCCACACACAGAGGGAAGACCATGCGAAGATACAGGAAGACAGTCATCTACAAGCCAATGAGAGAGGCTTCAGAAGAAACTTGCTGACACCTTGATCTCAGACTTGTAGCCTCTGGAATTGTGAGAAAATAAATTTCTGTTATTTAAGCCACCCAGTCTATGATACTTTGTTATGGCAGCCCTAGCAAACTAGTTCAACCCCTATGAAGAGTTCTAATAGATTAATCAAGAATGATTTAAAAAAACAAAAAACAAAAACACATACTACCTCTTCCCTATAGGTTGGTTTTGCTAATATTCTGAGAACATATTATTTCAGATTTCATTGGCCTCTGAGTTTTGTTGGTTTACAGAATGTCACATTGCCTCCTTTGTTCAGTACTGTTATACACAGTAGTAAGGCTTAAAATTCCAGTTTCATCCAGGGGTTCACTCAGAAAAACTGCCTGGTGGATATTTCTGAGTTGATGATTTGGGTTATGGAAATTGGATTTTTACAAAATAAGTAATTTCTAATCCTAAAATTAAAAAACTACAGTTGTTTTTAAATAATTGGACCCCTACTTTATATCACAAATAAAACTTAATTCAAATCCATTAAGGCATTAAATGTGAATATCAAAACATTAAGAATCTTAGAAGAACATTTGGGAGACTAGACCTACAATCAAGGACTGGAGGAGATATGTAAACCAAGACAGAAAATGAAAACACTGCCCCAGCCCATGTGGCTCAGTGGTTAAGTGTTGATCCATGAACCAAGAGGTCATTGATTCGATTCCTAGTCAGGGCACATGCCCAGATTGTGGGCTCAATCTCCAGTAGGGGGTGTGCAAGAAGCAGTTGATTGATGTTTCTATCTCTCTATCCTCTCCCTCGCCCTCTAAAAATCAATAAAAACTTTTTTTTTTTGAAGAAAATGAAAGTACTATAAAAAGAAAAAATATTACATAAAAATCTGATGAATGAATCATTCAAGAAATCCAGATGCTCTTAAAGGAAAGATAAACATCTTGACCATATAAGTTTGATCTTTGTATGGCTAAAGATAGCATTAATATAGTCGATGAACAAAAAAATAGATCTTAAAAAAATACTCACAATGTGATGATAGTTAATGTCTATAACACAGAACTCTTAAAAATTAGAAAAGAGAACCTATTTTTTTAAGGGCAAGGAATATGAAGTGACAAGTCAATTAAATCTATATCACTTGACTTAGAGGCTCTATACAAGACATTGAGGGGAAAAAATGCAGAAGTGTAAGAAATGGTCCCATTTTTGTAAAGACTCAATGCCTTCTTCCCCATCCTTGTGTTTGTATGTGAGAGAGAGAAAACATGAAAAAGAGAATATGGAAGAGAGAGAAGAGTAATGCAAGTGGAAAGAAAACAGAAAAAATAGAAATGTACTAGCCCTCAATCCCAGAGACCCCAGTCTGCACATCAGTTAATTTTGGGGGTAAAAAATGTGTGTATATAAACAAATACAAAAAGCACACATGTGTGTGCATAAATGTTTATAAAGGTGTAGACACTGGTTACCTCAGGCGGGAAAGCTTTGTTTTTAATACATCTTTGCATTTTATTGTTTTACTTGCTGTAACAAGCATCTATTGTTTTTATAATTTAAAAAACAAATTAAAAAAAATTATTATACACCAACAAACTAATTCTGTTTATGTTACCTATTTACAATGGTATTTTCCCTCTCACATCTATCCCTCCATACCTCTCCTAATTTGCTGCTGGAAACACCATATCCCTTTGGCTATTCACCTGGCATCTGACATACCAACTGCAACAAGGACTAAGCATTCCAATTCACATATTTCTATAATATACAAGCTTTTACTACTAGCACTTAAAAGTTTTACATCCTGGTTTTTCTGTCACTTCCCACACTTGTTTTGTTGAATCTTTTTGACCAAAAGTACATACTTTATCATAAACTATTATCTCTGAATACTTACCTTTAGCTGTATCCAAAACTCAATTGTACCTCCAATAGCGAGGCTAGATTTCCCACACAGAGGGGATTTAAGAGGCAGGAAAATGTAGCGGTAGTGTGGGTTGGAATCTTGACCGCCATTTACTATCTGCCGGGCGTTGGGCAAATTTCATAGTCTATGACTCAGTTCCTTCGTCAGTAAAATGGGGATATTTCCAGTACCTACTTCATTGATCCTTATGAGGATTAGAGGAGTTAATATATGTAAAGTATCTAGTACATGCTAGCTATTGCTCCAGTCAACTCGCTGCAGGCCCTGAGATAAAGTGCCACGGAAACACGAGAGATTCCGAAGCGGCTAAATTACCGCTGGGGTTGAGAACTACCCGTCTCCGGACATTTCGGACACAGGACCTATGCGCGGACAGACCAAGCCTAAGTTAAAAAATGCTCCCCTCCCCTTTCCCTTCGACTGCTTGGCGGGCTCTTTCTGGTCGAGGCTGAAGCGCGAGGTAACTGAGGGAAACCTGAGGAGAGAATTTCAAGGGCCAGGCCACAGAGACAACTTTTCTGAAAGGGTGTGAGGCGGCGCCACGGGAAGCAGAAGGGATGGGATCCTTGACTTCCTAGCCTCCTAGGTGCTCTTCCCGAGGTGAGGCTACGTTACTCGCCTTGGGCTTGGCGCACGTCCCGCCCTCCCGCTCCCGTCCGAGGTGAGGGGTTGGCGGAGATGACCCGCGCGACCGCCGGCGGGGAGGGGCGTGGCCTGCGTTGGCCTCGCCCTCCGCTCCCGGGTCTCGAGCTCCGAGCGGACGCTCCGGACTGACGCACTGAGGCTTCGCAGCCAATCCGGAAACGGGGAGCAGTTTTAAATGAAGATGGCGGGTGAACTAGCCGTCACCTCTTGGGTCCGCTAGGTGGTCGTTCTGTATTCTGGGTTGAAGATGTGGCGGGTGAAAAAACTGAGCCTGTCGCCTTCGCCCCAACCGGTGAGCGGGAGAGCCTCATGGAGAGAGACAGCTGGGCCGAGCTCCGGGGTGGGGGCGGGAGCGGGGGCGTGTGGATTGTTGTTGGTCCTGGCGCTTCCGCGCGTCTGAGGTGGAGAGCCTCTAATTGCCTTGTGAGCTTCTTAGCGGGGCCGGGCTGAGAGCCCAGGCTTCCTCACACCGTGTCTTTCTTTCTCAGGGAAAACCAACTATGAGAACTCCTCTCCGAGAACTTAACCTGCAGCCCGGTGCCCTCACCAGCTCTGGAAAAGGGCCGCAGATATGCTGCTCGCTGACCCCATCGCTGTGCAAACTGGGGCTGCAGGTGAGATTCGTCTGGCCAGCTTCTGCACTGGGCTCTTTGCCGAGACCGAGAGCTCAGAGGAACTGAGGGCCAGAGCTGACACGTAATTAATAACGATAATGAAATCTTTTCTCTTAGTGACATCCATTTACAGCTATTCAGGCCAACAGAGAGGTGCCCTAGGGTGGTTAAAGGAAATCCACTGAGAACCTGGACCTCTATTTAGCTGTTAGATTTTACCATCTCCTCTCCTGTTCAATCTTTACGAAATTAGATAAAAATACTATCATTCTGATTAGTAGTCTCCCTCTAACATGAACTCGCTTATGCAGAGGTCAGACAGCTGACAGAGTGAGGCAGTGCAGAGTGGGGTAAAAGTAGGTTTACAGTTGCTCTATGGAAAATAATATAATACTTAATGATAGTACAAGAATAAACTCTGTGTTTCTAGTGCTCACTACTGTAAGCCTACTTTTGCCCCACCCTGTATATGTACAAAGATATTTATGTTAACATTGTAGAAGTAAAACCACGAAAACATAAATTACCATTTATGAATGAATTGTGATTCATGCCTACCATAGTAGCTTATGGATTAGTTCTACACCAGCTATTTAGTGCCATGGTTTTTACATTTTTGTGCTTTTTGTTTACATGGAGGGATTTGCACTTTGTTAAATGAGAAAAGCGACATGCAAAGAAATGTATATAGTCAATCCTCATTATTCGTGGATTTAGTATTTGTGAATTCACTTACTCACTAAAATTTATTTGTAACCCCAAAATCAATACTTGCAACACTTTTGGTCATCTGTGACATGCAGAGAGGCAAAAAATGAATCACCTTAAACACATATCCCCAGCTGAGGTTGAAAAAGGTGACATTTTGTCTTCTTGTTTTAGCATACTGTAAGCAAATGTCCTTCTCATAATCTATTTTAGTGCCATGGTTTTTGCATTTTGTGTTTTTTGTTGGTTATTTCACTGTTTTAAATGGCCCCCAAACATAGTGCTGAAGTGCTGGCTAGTGTCCCTAAGTGCAAGAAAGCTGTGATGCGCCTTATGAGAGTTAATTAAGCTTCATTCGGGCATGAGTGCTGTTGACTGTGAGTTCAATGTTAATGAATCAATATATATTAAATAGATCCCCTCCCCCTCCCTTCCACTGTTTCTAAAAACCAATGGAAAAAATATCCTCACTCCTTGGGTGAGGATTAAATAAAACAAAACAAAAACATACAGTAAAAAGAAAATATGTCTTATCACATACAACTTAAAAAGCTACAATAATGATATACCTTAATTACTTCCATGCATATAAATCTATCATTACAGGTTTTTAAAAAAATAAACACAATTAAGACTTCTAGGAGCATTTTATAATACATTAATTCCTAATTTTTCTTTGTAGATAGATCAAGCACCTCCAAAATACAAATTCCTATTAGTGAGCACTTTGCTTAAAATGAATACTTAAGAAAGTAAGTACAGTATGTGGGCACCCTTAGGATAAGCTGACATTATATATTCAGTTAAGTAGGCAACAATCCATAATGCCAAATGGAAAAAGTGTATTTGCAAATAAATTTCAAGAACTGTTAACTTTTTATTTTATTATTATTTTTAAATTGATTTTAGAGAGAGAGGGGAAAGGAGAGATAGAGAAAGAGAAACATTGATTTGCTATTCTACTTATTTATTCATTCATTGGTTGCTTCTTGTATGTTTCCTGACTGGGGATTGAACCCACAACCTTGGCGTATTGGGATGATGCTCTAACCAACTGAGCTACCTGGCCAGGATCTAAGTTAACTTTTTATAATTAAAGAAAGAATATATTGACGTGCTAAAATAAGATGTGATGTAGTAACACTTCACTATAAACAATGCATACCAGAATATTTATATATGATTAATGAACCTTCAAAGAAAAACTTTTAAAAATTAAAATATAATATGTGAAAATACATCAAACATACAGCTTAACAAATTTGTATAAATTACACATCATTGTAACCAATATTCAGGTCAGTAAACAGGACATGCTAGAATATCAGAAACCCTGTTTAGACTTTAAAAAAAAAAAATTCATTTCAGAGAGAGGAAGGGGGAGAGAGAGAGAGAGAGAGAGAGAGAGAGAGAGACATCAATGATGAGAGAGTCATTGATTGGTTGCCTCCTATAAGCCCCCAACCAAGGATCGAGCCCACAACCTGGTCATGTGCCCTGACTGGGACTCTAACCTTGATCTCCGGGATTATAGGTTGATGCTCAACTGCTTAGCCACGTCGGCCAGGCCCTTTTTTGACTTTTCATGTAAGTCTGATTCTTTTTTCCCCCCATAGTTGGTCTTTCTATCTAATACTTCTAAAATAGTTTTGTCTTCTTTGTAGTTCAAAATTTTTATTTTTTTCTTGTATTTTTTTCTTGTTAATACTGTTTGGAACTTGATGAGCCATTTCAATATGCAAACTCAGGTCTTTCTTACCTTAGAGAAATTTTATTCTAATATATATCTGTTAATCAGTGACTCACCTGTATGTATTCTCTTTTCTCCTGAAACTTGTTTTATTAGGTTTATTGGATTTATATTCCAATCCTTGTAGCTTCTCCCTAAGATTTACATTTTTTTGGGTATTTTTATCTTTACTTTAAGGTATTTCTTCTGCTTGATTGTCCAGGCCAGTAATTCCAGTTTCAACACTGACCATCCTCTTCTAATTCATTTTACTGAAGTTTTTGTTTAATAGTAATATTTATTATTTCCAGAAAGTCTGTGTGTGTGTGTGTGGTACTTGAATCTTTTTATATACTCATATTTTTTTTAGTTCAAATTGTCATCTGTTTCTTCCATCATCTGTGTTTTGTTGGGATCTACCTTTTCTTTTTTTCCATTGCTTTTCAGAGAGAGTGGAAGGGGGGGAGAGGGAGAGAGAAACATCAATGTGAGAGAGACACATCAATTACTTGCCTCCTGCACGCACCCTGACCGGGGCTGGGGATCTAACCCGCAACTGAGGTACGTGCCCTTGACCGGAATCAAACCCTGGACGCTTCAGTCCGCGTGCTGATGCTCTAACCACTGAGCAAAACATGATAGGGCAGAGTCTACCTTTTCTAACTATCTTAGGATTTGTTCTTTCTGTGGCTACTAGATCCACTTCAGTACATCCACATTTTCCTTTTCTTGTTCATTGAGTCTCAGGACCAGCAACTTGCAAGTGGTAGAAGGTGCAGTGGTCCTTGTCCCTGTGAATCAGCAGTAGGGAGGTTGTCAGTTTCTTATTAGGGTACTAGGTGGAAGTCTCTCTGCTCTTTATTCTCCTCTGCTCCAAAGGCTAGAGCCCTTCAAATCCCATGGGTTCAATGGATTCAACCCATGTATTCAGGATGCCCTCAGCTCTTGGTTACTAGCACAAGTTGATGTTGCCCTTTCTCCCTAGGGCCCATGGATCTCTGTGGGTGAAGTGCTCTCTAACTCTGTTCAAGAAGGAAATAAATCTTGTACCAACTCTAGATTTTAACAGAGCTTGAACATAGGGACCCTTCCTACCTATTTCCCCTAGAAGTGAGTTGGAGATAGCAGTAAAGAGGAGTGGGGTCATTTTGATAGAGATAAATTATCTCAGCCTTGTTTATACTATAGGCAGGTTCACTTGGAAGGACCCAGATGGCTTCACAGCATTTCTTTCCCTGCTATTGGGTCTCTGTAGTGAGCAGCAAGGCTTAGTCAAGGTCTTACCTAAGCAGAGGTAATGAGAAATCTTACCTTTTTTGAATTTGGACAGTATCCTGCACCCATCATTGTATGTTGGGAACTGGAATTGATTGCCTTAGTCAACTACTTTTGTTTCCTTTGGCAGGAGGGCAGCAACAACTCATCTCCACTGGATTTTGAAAATGCTAAGATGACAGACTCCCCATCAGAACAGTTCAGCCTTCTCTCAAGGTCGCTACCAGCTTGTCAACATGAATCAGATGAGCAGCCCCTAAATCTGACTCCCCAGAACAATTCTACTCCCAAACCATCTGAGGAAGCAGTAGACCCACTGCACAACAATGTGGTTAAAGCCATGGTCCTTGTACCCTCTCCAGGAGGGCAGCAGCAAGACATCACACTTGAGGCCCATTTAAATACCATGGCAGAAACAAACGGTTTTTCTCTAGATGAGCCTTTGAGGCCAGGAGATCTGTTGAGAAAGTGGGTGGAACCCTGCAGGGAAGATAGCTTTTCAGAAGTTGTTCCTGCTATGCCTGAGAAACTTACATTTCAGGATCCTCCATACCATCTTTTGGAGTATCCACCAAATCCCCGTTCTGAGCAACAGCTACACTGTTCCAAGGAAAGCCTGAAGGACAGTAGAACTGAGGCCGTGCCTGAGGACTTACTGTCTTCTGAAAGTAATGCCTTCTTGCCTTCCTCCATGCTCTGTCTTTCCCCTTCAACTGCCTTTGCAGCAGATTTCCCTGTCAGTCATGTAGACCCAGGGCAGGAAATTGTAGAGCACAAAGCTGTAGAGGAAAGAGAAATGAGCTTTTCCACATTCCCTGAGGAGGCTGAATTGAGAGATCAAGCACTTGTCTCAAATATGCAAGGTATTCCACCCACATGCCTGACCCCAAATTCAGGAGAAATGGAATCCCAGGCAGCTCCAGGCCCAGCAGTAGAAGATGCTGGTAGACTTCTCATCTCTGATGCAGGACCTTGGATGTCCCCATTGTCCTGGCTGGAAAAAGGTGTAAATACCTCAGTAATGCTGGAAAATCTCCGCCAGAGCTTATCCCTTCCCTCTGTGCTTCAGGATGCTGCAACTGGCACTGCTCCTTTCTCTACTTGCTCAGTGGGGACTTGGCTTACTCCCCCAGCACCACCACAGGAAAAGAGTACAAACACATCCCAGACAGTCCTGGTGGGCACCAAGGACAGTACTTCTGAGAGGGAGCATCTCCTATGGGGGAAGTAAGTGTCCCTATATCCTGGTGCCTCCTGGGTTCCATTAACCTGGACCTGCCACTTCCATCCCTTCACCTATGTTTCTTCTCATGCTCTCTTTTTGCTGCAGCCATCCTCCAGATCTGACTGCCTTATCTCGACACGACCTGGAAGATAACCTGATGAACTCTCTTGTCATTCTGGAGGTTCTCTCCCGCCAGCTGCGGAATTGGAAGAGCCAGCTGACTACCCCTCACCCAGAAGTTCAGGACAGTAGCACACAGACTGACACAACTGACACCTGTCCCAGTGGGGTAAGAAGGTTACTCCCAAAGCATGGAAAATCCCAGTGGGCTGTCTTCCTCAGAATTTAAGCTGATATACTGCCACAGGTTCATTCTTAGAATATGTAAAAGCCACGGACCTGGAAAACTTAGTAAAGCTGTGGGTACTCACTATACTCCAGGGGTATGTCAAGACTTTCTAAGGGAATGCATGCAGGTTTTAAGGGAATCAGTTTCTAGATCTTCATCTCCAAATGTACTCTGCTAATCTTTTTGCTTTCCCACTTCCCCATTCTCAATTACCCTTGCCCACTTTACTAAAGAAGACCATATTTACTACATATCCTGAATCTTACATTGTCAAGGGATAGCAATCGAATAATAGAAAATATTTGTGTACATGCTGAGAAAGTGAATGACTACAGTGATCATATAATGTAAAATTTTTGCATGCTTTCAACAAAATTGAGGGAAAACTTTAATTTTGTTAGTGGATCATTAAACATTTTTGATGAAAGTTCACTATGAGATTTTTGGCGTATATCTCCAAAGGAGCTCCTAGAGTCGGGTGACATCCCCTTCCTGCCTCCTTTCATTCCTTTTTATTCCCATTATTTATGTGAAGATTTCTCAGTGCTTACATCTAGGAGGATGGAAAATAGGCATAGAATTGTTGCTAAACCATGTCTTATTGTAGGAATTATAGTAATCCACAGACACATGAACTAATAAGGGGAGGGAGGTTCCATCCATTTCATTAATAGATGATCAATAAAATTTTACTAGGTATGTTTGTAATTTTATTAAAATTATAATATTACAATGATTAGTATACAACTGTTGAAAATATTTCTCTAAAAAAATGCTTTCACTTGAAAGCTTTTGGTCAGAGGAATTTAAAAGAAACTTTAATTTAGATTTAGATGAACTTTTGTTGTTACCAATATATTGATTAATAACAGGCTTTAAATATGTTCTTTAGGATAAAATTCTGACAGAAGTAAAAATACAGGTTCAAGAAGAAAAAGGGATGATGTAAAATTTCTGACTGTTAAAAAAGAGCTTGTCCATGTATTTTTAAAGGTATAAAGCAGGTATTAAATCTTTATGGTGTATGTATTATTCCATTGGATATATTTAAGAGTGATTTAACAGTTTTATTTCAAACCATCAATATTTATAATATGGTAGAAATTGTAGTCTTTATAACAATTTAAACGTAAGGACACTCAGTCTTTCAAAATTAGAATAGCAGATATGAGAGGAAAACAGTTTGAAGAACAATTAGTAGAGGACTCTAGCTGTGACAGACAACACAGGCTGAGGAAAGAAGGGAATGGTGTCAGAGGAAGGAACTGAGAGTCTCAGTGTTGTGGCTAGTGAGGTTAATAGGTGGCTGCTGCTAAGAAGAGATGCTCTCCAAATGCCCAAAGAACTCCTTTGGGTTGAAAATATCCTCAAATAATGACTTTACCGTTTGCCAAAATCCTGGAAACCGTAGGCTCATCATTCCTTTAGCTGCTCAATTTGTCTCCTGTGTTTTCCTATTTTTGTATCCTTTCCTCTTGTCTTTGACCTCATTGCCTGTCCCTGAGTACCTATTCCTGAGTACCTATTACCCTGAGTAAAAGGCCTTGTACCTATTCCCCTGAAGCTTGCCAAATCCCTTTGGAGGCCACTGAAGCAGAACCAAAAAGGGGCAATGACAGCACCTTCAGCCATTCCCCATCACAGTGCCAGGTCTTTGCCACTTGGCTTCCTCCTTCACACTAATCTCATCACCTGCCTGACTGCCCTGCTCTGAACAGCGTGTGTGCCTTTTCCAGGACTCATGGGCTACTCCGTGCCTTATTGCACGGCGCAGGAGGGAATGATGACTGCTTTGCTGAGGAAGGGAGTGATGAACTCCAAGAGAGCTGCCCCCTTAAATCCAGACTGCTGTAACATCGTGACTCAGCATTGCTTACAGCAGTGTTTTTCCCCAGATGATGGCTGCCTTTCAGCAGTAATGAAGGCTCCCCGCTTTTCTCTCATAACTTTAAAGCCTTTCTATAGCTCTGCTGCCTTTGAGATCATGTGTCTACATAGCACACTAAGATTTTTGTCTGCCCCAAGGTAATGAACAGCTAGAGAATAAGGAAATAAAAATGACTAATAAATACTTGAGAAGGTTACCATTACTGATGGTCAGAGAAATGAAACAGTGATGTTATTTTCTTCTGACAAAATAGCAAAGAGTAAAATAGCTAATGCTGGTAAGCATTGTCCTGCTGTCAGTAGGATATAAATTGGTTCAGCCTTTTTTGAAGGACATTTAAGTAAGATCCTTAAAGCAGTTCAAACTTTGACCCAGTAACTTCACTTCTAGGGATATATCCTAAGGAGAAAAAAATTCTGCATAAAAATGGTAACTTAAAAAAAAAAAATTAGCCCAGCTGGGCGTGGCTCAGCGGTTGAGCGTCGACCTAGGATCCAGGCGATCGGGGTTCGATTCCCGGTCAGGGCACATGCCCGGGTTGCGGGCTCGATCAATGACTCTCTCATCATTGATGTTTCTATCGCTCTCTCTCCCTCTCCTTTCCTCTCTCTGAAATCAATAAAGATATATTAAAAAAATAATAATAATAATAATTAAAAAATATAAGAAATAATGAATGGTGTATCTATAAGATGGAATATTCTGCAGTTACTTAAAAGTATGTTTATGAAGAGTTTTTAATAACATGGGCAAAGAAGTTTAACATAAGTTCAAGGTTTTTAAAGAAAGGAAATCAGAGTTTAGATCACCTCTGAGAGGCTTTGAAGTGAGAAAATAGCAGAAGTTAAAATGGTGGTGGCTCTACTTTGATAGGTCCCCCTAAAGCAGATATTCCAGTTTCAGGCCAATCCAATGAGTAGAGCAAATATAAATTCAAGGCTAAATAACATTAGTATAATAAAAATAAGTAATTAAAGCAGGACCCCTAAATTTATATGTATATGCACTTTAACAGCTGATAACTCAATTTTTACTCCTTTTCAGGTTTAACTGACATTGACCTTATAATCAAAGTGTGTATACATTTTTTGGGGACACCATATATATATGGCTTAATGTTATATATATATATGTTATATATATATAACATATATATATATAAAAAACAATCTCAGTTGTGTGTGTTTTTAAGCATTACTGTCTTTCATCAAATTTGACACTATTAATATTAACATGCATCCCAGTTTTAGTGGTGTTAAAATGTAAAAAGATAATCATCTTAGAATTTATTGGATATTGTAATTTCTTTCTAAACCAATA